ACTGCTTATCTGCTCCTAATGTGGAATGGCAGGACAGACACAGAATGACAACTACAGTGATTCTAGTTCAAAAAGAAGGAACATGGAAGGGAGAAGGATGGCACCGACCCAAAGTCATGTGGAAGTAGAGCTGGGCATAATCCAGGAGGAGCTTCTTAAGAAATATCCACAGCCTGGGACTGACCCTCCATCCTGTGGGACTTTGCCTCTGGGATGTTTGCTCTGCATTTCTTGAAACCATTATTATCTATCTTATTTTTTCCCCACTCCTTTGGTTCTTCTCTTTTCTCCTCATGGCAGCATCCTCCACTTAATCCGTGGTCCGTCATCCCCAGCAGAATTGGTCAGATATTGCCCGTGTCGTGGTCACGACCGTCTCCACAAGGGGCTGTCCTTGTGAGCCCGTGCTCCTCTGGGACCATCTTCACTGACCTGACCTCCCTCAGTCATGATTGCTTTCAGCTGACATGGCTGGGTTAGGAGAAAACCTGACTATGGAGTCCCAGAGCCATTCTCTGCCCTCGCTATCTCCAGGAGAAGAAGAAAATCACAGGGATCTTCATGGAGAAATGACCCACGTGAGGGCCTGGGCTTTCCAGCAGTCACAGCAGAAGAAAATTCCTGAGAAACAATGGAGGATCTGAACGCCCAGACTGGGAAAGCAGGGTTGTGTTAAGGACTATTTAATTCTCATGTGCTCCCTGCCCCAATCTACAAGCCAGCGAATGACAACGGACTGAGAATAAGTAGCAGGCCTATAGGACCATGATGAAGAATTGTCCAAGGAAAGACCCCTTTACTCTGTTTGCAAAGTCGAAATTGCTGTATTTTATCCAAAGTTTTCTGAAAGGCAGCAGTGAGTTTCTGGAGGGTGAGTTACCTGCTTTGCACTGGGAGGCTGAGGCCAAGGCTTGCATGGTATATCTGCTGCCACCAGGTGGTCAGGGAGTCTGGGAGATTCTTAGTCTTTCTGGGCTTCAGTTTTCTCATCAGTAAAGTAGGGGCTTATTGTACCTTTCTGAGGTCCCTTCCTGCTCTGTTTCCTCTGAGTCCTTGAGGGACTAAGATGGTTTTTAACACTGCCTGGACCTGTAACCTGCACTGACCTCTCTGGATCTGACTCCTGACTGGCCCCTGTGTGTCTCCTGCAGAACCTGAGCTGAGTCCACACCCTGGAAGCCCAGAACCGAGGGAACAGACGGAAGAAAGAAAGTCAGCAGGTTTTGGAAGAGAATAACCTGCAAAGGACAAGTAAATTCTAGAACAGGTGAAAACCAAAGAAGGGAGAATAAGGACAAACTGGGCCAGGAGCCTAAGGGAAACGGGCAATGGGCCTATATCATTCAACCACTCGAGGAGCAGCGCAAGCTGAGCAGTGGGGACTGAGAAACTTACTCCACAGGAGTCTCCTGACCCTGGCCAGGGAGAGCCAAAGAGGGCATTGAGCTGGTTTATAGTGAGGGGCAGCGCCAACTCCAAGACAGGGAGGATGCGACCATGAGCCCCCACGCCAGACCCTGGAGCCTCGACCTCGGGGCTGCCACAGCAGTGGATGCTCTTCAGGTCAGTGTGGATTAGAGGGAATAACTGTGCTTGGAGAAGGGTTAGAGATGTCTGTTCTTACATTAAACAGCCCTGCCCTAGGCCAGGTGCCAGAGTAAGTGATTCTTGCCAGTATATGAGGCAGTGCTACTTAGACTATTCCTCTGCACTTTCACTTGAGGAAGGTCTCTATGTGATGAGTATTTACTGGGTGTTTAATTTTCTCTATACTGTGGTAAGCATTTGGGGTTCACATAGTAGTTTCCCCAAGGAACTCAAGCCCATGAGAGAAAGAACACAGAGACATGATTTCAAGAAAATAGAGTAGTTCTCCGAAAGTGGGGTGTCATGGCAGCCCAGAGGACGGGAGTGTAGGTGAAGACATTGCTCATAAGGACAAGGGGAACCATAAGAGGGATTCTTCAGAGCAGTCCTGTTTTTCCTCCAGTGTCCNGCTCAGATCTTTCACCTATTGTTATTATTTTTTTGCCTTGTGTTGTTTAGTTCTCAGGCTTCTTCGTATATTTAGGACAGCAGTGTTTTATCAGATTATTTTGTAAATGTTTTCTGCCAGTCTTTGACTTGCTTTTGCCATTGTCTTCACAGTGTCTTTCACAGAGCAGAAGTTTTTCATTTTTCCAAGGCTCAACTTTATTTTTTTCATTTGTGGATTGTCCTTTTGGGTGTTGTATCTAAGAAGTCATCATTGAACCCAAGCTCCCGAGCTCTTCTCCTGTGTGATCTCCTGGGATTCTCATGGTTTTGCACCTACATTTAGGTGTAAGATTCATTTTATAAAGGGCATAACATGCACACCTAGATTGGTTGATTGATTGATTGATTTTGCATTTGGTTGTCTAGCTGTTCTAGCACCATTATTTGGAAAGGCTATCCTTGCTGTTTTAAATTGTCTTTAAACCTTTATGAAAGATCAGTGGACTGTATGTAGGCCTGTTTCTGGGCTCTGTATACTTTTCCATAGATCTTATTTGTGTGTTTTTCCTCGTTTCACCAACTTCATGCTGTTTTGGTTTCTGTAGCTTTCTAGTAAGTCCTGAAGTTGGTAGTACCTTCAGGGTTTTTTTTCTGAACTTCATCATGACAACCTGATTGAGATTGTTGTAGTCAAACTTGGAAATGTGTGAGATTCCCCCTTAGTTTGGTCTTCAAGGAGTTTTTAATGCTCAAGGCAGGCCACCCTCAGCTGCTAGTAATGTGTGAATATCATTTAAGTGCTCCTCCCAGTGGCTGGCCCCAGTAGCTTCTCTTCCTGGTGAGCTCTGATTCCTTGTGTGTTAGCCTGTCTCTCTCAGTTTTAGGGTGGCAGTTTTCCCTGTGACCTCACTTCTCTGGTCCAGCCTAGAAGAGCTGACTTTCAGTTTGTTCAGCTTTTCTGTAGCTGTGAGGATAAGCGATGACTCCCTAGCTCTTTCCATGTTGGAGTGGAAACCCAAAAGTTCATTTTAGAGTTACTTGTAATAAAAGTCACCCATTGTCAGTGTACAGCTTAATCATTTTAGGTTGGTTTATAGAATTGCGCAGCCATCAGCAGAGTTCTATTTCAGTACATTTTTGTTGCTTCCCCATAGTCCCTTGAGCCTCTTTGTGGTCATTTCCTAATCCCTAGTCCCCGTGACTAGATCTGAATAGAATAAATATGTGGATAACGGACTTCATTATATTTACATTTTCATGTGTTTGGGACTTTATGTAGTGGAGTGTTGTCTTCCTTTTCTGACAAATAGAGAAGAGATTGTATTCTTGGGATGTTTTTGGGGAAACATAACAGTAGTCTTGTTTATGGTTCTCCTTGAATTGGTTCATCTGTGCTGGTGAGTGGTACTTACTACAAAACCTTGTCTGGTGAGCACAAGGAAAGGAATCTTTAAAAATTGGCCATTAAAACAGAGATGATACATTTTCACATAGTAATATGTGGTGTTAAATATTAAACCATTTTAATCTTTTATTTTTCTTTTCTTTTTTTTCTTTTCACAGAGTTTTTGCTTCCTGCCCAGGCTGGAGTACAATGGCACGATCTCAGCTCACTGCAACC